ATACCGCCCGCGTGCGCGATGCATAGGTAAATCAAGAAGAAAATGAACTTTAATGTATTGCTCTATTAGTTTTACTTTTACAGAAATATAATAATTTGTATCTCGTAGAGCGCCAAAACTGACCATGAAAATGCGCTCGTAAAATAAAGAAATCACCATCAATAGGAAGACAATAAAAGATTCATGAGGAAGGCAATCACGCATCAAGAAAGAATTCTAGCAACTCGAATTCATTTCCAATTTGTTCATTAGGATAAGTTCAATTGTTGTGGGGCAAAAGTATATTAAAAATTTAAACTAAAACAAACCTTATTTTTTTGACGGGAGATGCACAAACTACATTATTCTTTTTTATTTGTTATCTGTTCAAGAGTTCAGTGTTTAACAGTTCAGTGGTCAACAGGGAGTCACACCAACTAGGGGCCATCCCCTTAACTTCTAAACAGTTCACGATATCGAAATGTAGTTTTCGCCCAACAATGTGAAATCATGAGGCAAGTAATGTGCCTTAGGAATATTGTTTAAAATATTGTTAGTTTCCGAGAAATTTAATCATCTTTAATTTTTTAAATGGAACCAAGTATTTATCTCACTAGCAATAGATAGATCATAAATAGACGAATGCAATGACGTAACACATGTTAATGATTTGATTGTATTTTGAGAAGAAAATTATACTTTCAGCCATGTGATTTTAAATTAAATATATAAGATTTCAACTGTAAATATACAACCCTTTCAACTGTCTCCTTTTGGGAAGGCTGCCTTCGTGGTGCGGGCACTTTTACGGGGAGATGGGAGAGGCCACGAAGGTCACGTTCGCCAAAAGCGACAGTTGCGTCGGCAGCTACAGAACAAATTGCACGGTTTAATTTAAAATCTCAGTCCATAAACTATAATGGACAAATGGACATGGTCACAAAACACAATCAAAATATTAGCAATGTTACAGCATTGCATTCCTCTTATTAAGATCTTTCTATTACTAGTGAGAAAAATAAATGGTTCTATTTAAAAATCAAAGATGATTAAATTTGTCAAAAACTAAAAATGTTTCAAACAATATCTCTACACCATATTACTTGCCGCATGATTCCGCATAATTGAGTGAAAATGTAAGCCGATATCGGGAACCGTTTGGAAGTTATGAGGGTAGCCCGTTGTTGGTAGGACTCCCTGTATGCAAGCAATATATATGTATTTCAAAAATTCGTGTTTTAATTCCGTTCGATAGAAGACATGCATTTTTCAACATTATTTGTAATTATCGAAATATGTTGGAGACATTTTTAAAACGCTCCGAAATTTGGCCCAATAATATTATGTAACTAATGAAGTTACAAAAGTGCTTGTTTGTCTCATTGGTAGAATCGTATCTTTCTGGACGCTAAGCAGCAGGATCGAATCCAGTGCGTGTCCGTTTTTTTTGTTTTTTTTTTTGTTTTTTGTTTTTTGTTTCGTTGTCCGTGTTTTTTTGTCAAATGAACTCTATTACAGTGCTCTCTCTATTGTGTCAATAAAGTATTATTTTGATTTTAAAACAAAATAACTCTCAAAAGGGTTCTTTATCTTTATATGAATATTTGTTTTTAATTCTCCAAATTACATATTTGTTAAAATTGTATTCTATTTTTTTACATTAATTGTTTATTTATAAATATCTTATTCTCGAAAATGTAAGGAATACTTAATAAGGAATCCAAAACCCCCCAGATTCTACGACCATTCTTATCCTACGTGGGAGAGAATCCACAAGTCTCGCCGCATAGTTTTCACTGTGAGCGACCTCCTCCCAGCTCATGGATTATTGCCAGAGCCATCGCATTGTTGGTCCGGTCAGCTAGTTTTCGGCCATGGGCGTCTTGTTCTCTGCGCAAACATTCAATAGGGTTAAACCTGGTCACATGGTGGCCAGTCAAACAACCTGAAGATCTTGTTATCACCCAAAAAAAAAACGATTGAACCAAAGCGACTTATGAATCGGTGATTGGTTCTGTTGAAATTTGAATTATCCCTACAGGATGCCATTTCCTTACTCATGATATCTCTCAGTATGTGAATGTACTGGAGCATTAATGGTCTTGGGATTCTATGGATTCATTCAATCCTATAGATGACATCGAGCCCCAAACTTGCTACTGAAAATCGACCTCACCAGGACTTGCTTTACGTACGAGATCATAGCGGCTTCCTTGGTGACCTGAAGACGCA